CAAGGTTTGCGGTGCAAAGGGGAGGAGCCCAGCCTCCTTCCTGGGTCGAGATGGGCGTCCGCGGCCACCTGTGTCCCCTGACCACCTGGAAAACAGGTGTTCTGTTCACCCCATTTCACCTTTTCTGCTGGCACTTGCAGCTTTTTTGACAACCCGGACATCCATCTACCCGCCGGGAGGGAGACACCCAAGGGTCCCTGACACCCAGGGGGTCTTCCGGCTCAGAACACACTGCAGAGGAGAAAGGGTCCACCCCAGGGGAGAGCACGTGACCGGTGGGGACAGTCGGATTGGCTGCAGAAGGGGGTGTGGCACTGGGCGAGTCACAGACCCTCCTGAAACTGTAGGACTTATCAGTAGAGAGAGGGTGTCGGTGGTTGACTCAGCCACTCCGCCTAGAGGGGCTGAGCATAAGCCCTGCCAAGCCCTGGCCATTCTGAGGCCTGTCCTGGGACCTCCCACCACCCACAACTCACCTCTAACCCATGGAGACCCAGGCCACTGGGAAGGGCTGCTCCCCCTAACATAAAATGGGTGAGATCCCACCCAGGGAGGCAGGCATGCACCCCAGGGCCAGGGCCGGGCAGGGTGTGAGTGCATCAGGGGCAGACACCAAGCCCCCACCCATGACAATGCTTGGGGCAGAAAGACTCACAGACAACTGAGGATGGTATCCCCCTGAGAGAGGCCTGGGAACTGAGTCTGCCCACTCACTGGAGCACCCGATAGCCCCCAGTTGGGAGACTGAGCTTAGGGGGTGAGGGGCTCATGGCACCAGGTGCCAATGATTTCTCTCCCTCCCCCAGGGTAGCAAGCAGGGCACCTAAGAGCGAAGCTCTCCTGCAGCCCCAGGGGGGCTCTGGTCAGTGGTGGCTCAGGTGCTTGGGTTGTGGTTGAAGAGTAGGGTATGGGTGCAGGTGTGGACTGGTGTGAGTGGGTGTCAGTACAAGTGGGGACAGGTGGATGAACACGTATGGGTGCAGGTGTGGGCAGGTCCATGCTCCTCTGCAGAGGCTGCAGGCTGTGACCCTGAGGAGTGGGTCACAGAAAAGGGCCCACGGTCCTTTGTGGATCCCTTTTCCATGTTGAGGTGCCTCGCTCTCTGTCCCAGGCCTCTGTGGGGGAGCAGATGGAGCAGGCACACTGGGCCCTCCAAACGACTGCAGAGGCCCTGGGAGCAGTGCTGCGGGGAGGACCAGCCCCCTGGTGTCCCCACCCATGCTGCAAGCCCAGGAGATGGAGCCAGTGTGGGTCAGTGCTGGGATTACAGACTTCAGCTTTACCAGGAAGGGAGGGACGGTTCACACCTGAGAGGCAGTGCGTCTACACCGGGAACTCTAGCTCCTGAGTAAGGCTGGTCCAGAGACAGGGCTCGTGCAGTCAGCTGCCACATACCACCGTATAGCCAAAGCGCAGACTGAGTGACATGTAGCTAAGTGATGGAAAGGTGCAGTCCCACAGCCTTGATGGCGTTCTGGGCCACAGGGTACTTCCCGGAGTGCCCCCCTCCCACCCCTGACACCATGCCAGCTCTCTGGGGCCCTCAATAACTCGAGTTACGGCAGGACGCAGCCATAACCTGCCAATCTGTGCTGATTAACCGCAAATGTCAGCAGCCTTGATTCTCCAGAGGGCTCTACATGCTGCCTTTCCTAGAAGACTAGGTGGGGCAGTGTTGTGTGGCCCTGAGCGACTCCAGGAGGCACCCCCACCCTGGCCAGGAAGCACCTGTTTCAACATCTCTGAGCACAGACCTGGTGTTGCACACGGGGAACGGAGGGCACCGGGCATGCCCGAATTATGTAACTGTCTGAGGCAGCACCGGGACCAGACTGCACCTGCCAGAGCGTCTGAGGGGCTCCCAACACCACCTGTGGTTTCCACACAGGGATCCCCTTGACCACGAGGAGCACTCGTGTCTCCCCATGTTGCTGGGAGTCCTCGGGTCCCTGTCTTCTTAGTCCCTCGGACAAATTTGGAAGCTGATAGATTAATGGAATATGAAGGTGCTGTGGGTGTCAGGGGTGCTAAAGCCTGCCCTTCACCGGCAGCCAGGGTCACAGCTTAGGAAACAACATGCAGGGGAGACACAGGCAGAGGACAGACGTCAGGGGCACTGGGCACCCTTGCGCAGACCTGGGAAGAAAAACCCTGGACGCTTTGCCGCCAGAGGGCGACACAGCCATTCTTTGGAGATGGAACCTTTAGGTCTGGGAGGATGGAGGGATGACTGCTCTGTTCCTCCTGTGTCTGCAGCCTCCGTGTGCCTGGCTCTGCGCCCATGCCTCAACGGTGGGAAGTGCATTGACGACTGCGTCACGGGCAACCCTTCCTACACCTGCTCCTGCCTCTCTGGATTCACTGGGAGGAGGTGCCAACTGGGTGAGTTCACTCATGGCCCCACCCACTGGGCGGCACGGGCTCTGAAGGAACCCTGGAAGTGCAGCCAGTAGCCCCAAGTGCCCAAGGTCAAGGGTCTCTGTCCCTGTGGTTGGGGGCACCACTGGGAGTGCCAAACACAGTGGCTTCCTGACAGGTGTGACGGCTGCCCCTCTGAGCCACTGCCCCAGGGTGAGGCCCAGGAAGGCCAGGTTTGCTGTCCCCTCCCCCCTCCTCCCAGGCGTGGCAGATCCTCCCAACCTGGTTCCTCCATTGAGGCCCCAGCCCACCTGTTTTTCAGATGTGGATGAGTGTGCTTCCCACCCATGTCAGAATGGTGGGACCTGCACCCACGGCGTCAACAGCTTTAGCTGCCAGTGCCCAGCTGGCTTCGGGGGACCCACCTGTGAGACAGGTAAGAGGAAACCACGTGGGCCCCCGAGTTCTGCTGGCTGCAGGGTGGTCGGGTGGTCCTGCCCAGCCAAGGAGTGGTGGGCAGCCTGGGGGAACCGTCAGGTCAGCCATGCCACAGAGGGCTTGGCACCAGGCAAGGGTCACCAGAGAGGCCTGAGGGTCCAGGGCAGGAGCACTGACCACAGCACTGGGGCCTCCTGAGCCCCGGTGTTTAGACCAGGGAGGAGGCCTTGGAACCGGCCAGTGCCCAGTTCCCAACTGGGCCCGTGTCAGAGCCAGACTGGTGGCAGGGCCTGGGTGTGGTAGGAGCCATCGAGCCCTCTCACCCCAGAACCAGTGTGAAGAGAATGTGGGGGTGTGAGGAGGAGCACCAACACCCGCTACCTTCTTCCTGCCTGTAGCCTGGAACCCTGAACTCCAGTTGCTCTGGCAGGAATGGAAGCTGTTTCTCTCCAACCCCCAGAGCTCCCACAGCCCGGGTATGGGTTGGGGTCCTTCTTGAGACACCCCTGGCTTTGAGTGGTCACAGGCTCGCTCAGAGCTGTGCTCCCATCTACGCTGCCCACGACTTTAGCCACCAAAGCACCTCCACATCTAGGGGGGTGGTGCTTTCCTCCCTCCCTTCCCTCCCCG